TTTTAAGATCCCAGTCGCTACTCGCCAAAGTGGGAGGTGGAACAGTATTTTGTATAGTATGTTATGTCAATTGAGCTTGATGTCCCCTGAGACTATGGTCCCAAGTCCACAGGTTCAACTACTCAGTCCCTCTGGATAGCTGGCTGTGACCAAACAGTGACTACAACCTTGCGCCTTGTCAGCTCTGCTATACACCTGGGAATTCTGATCATTCACATAAACTTATAGGACCATTGACTGCCAACCCTATATATGTTCTTGGGTACCCTCCCCATTTCATAGACATACCTAATCATTTAGCCTGTCCACTCATCTATCTTGGTGATTTTTTGGGGGGTCTGTCCTGTTTGGGGTTCGTTGGAATTCCTGAATGGATATATTCTCATCTTTCATCATTTCAGGGAAGTTCTCTTCCAGCAAAACTTGGACAATTTTCTCAGTGGTTTTGTTTTTCTCTTCCTGTTCTGAAATTCCAATGACACATAAGTTATTCCTTTTGAATGGTATCCTACATGAGCCTTTCTTCATTTTGTTTTGATTTTTTTCTGATTGATCCTTTTCCAAAGAAGTATTTAGGTATTTGTCTTCAATCTCATTAATTCTGTCTTCCATTGCATCGATTCTTCTCCTTTGCCCTTCCAATGTGTTACCTTTTTCTGACAATTTAGTATTAATCTTCTAGATTTCTATCTGTAGATTTAGAGTAATTTCTAATTTTTCATTTACTTTGTCATTTTGGTCTTGTATTTTCTTCCAAAATTCTTCTAAGGTTTTTTCTGTGTTTTCTTTGGTCTGTCTCTCAATCCTTTGAAGATACCTAAAGATAATTCTTTTGAATTCCTTATCAGAGAGTTCCAGTGCTGCTTCTTCCTGAGGGATGTGTTCTGGGTCTGTTTCCTGCTTCCTTGTTAAAAATATGGAACACTTCATGAATTTGTATGTCATACTTGTGCAGGGGCCTTGCTAATCTTCTCTGTATCATTTCAGTTTTAGTATATGTGCTGCCGAAGCGAGCACAAGAGTTTTTCTTTTTTTAAAAAACACACATTTCAGTGTCATCATCCTTGTGTGTGTGTGTGTGTGTGCGTGCACGTGTGTGTGTGTGTGTGTGTGAGGGTGGTGAAGGATACTGAGGACTGCTGTCCTGAGGAGGATGACTATCAAGGGGTCCAGAAACTTCATGAACTTGAATCTTTTTTCATCTTAAAAGGCTGGTATTAAGGAAAACAAGCATACCATTTAGGATTGATGGCAAAATAATACTGAGCCATATGGATCAATTCCACAGACAATTGCTGTGCTCCAGGTATACAAAGACTTGATTTAAATGATGGTAAATCATAGACAAGATAGAAAAAAATCCTTGAAGGTTAGATTCTGGGTTTTATTGGTTGTTGTTGTTGTTGTTACGTGCCGTCAAGTCGGCCCTGACTCATAGCGACCCCTCCTTGGGTTTCCGAGGCAGTATCACTACGGAAGTAGGTTGCCCCATCTTCCTTCCGAGGAGTGGTTGGTGGGTTTGAACCGCCAGCCTTCTGGTTTTCTTGGTAGTCATTTGCCTTTTTGTAATTCCCCAAATTGTTGAAGCCCTTAAAAAATCCTTTCCCAATGATTATTACCCATACTACTTATTGGAATATTGAATTCCTAATATTTCTTTCCTTTTTTTCCGTCAACTTACTTCCCCTAAGTCTTCATCTAGACTTTTTGGAATAGGGAGTCCTTCTTAATATCTTCATTCTCCTCAGTGTCACTCCCCACCCCTCCACCCCAGTCTTCTTATCTGGACCTTTTCCAATCTAGTTTATATTTTATGAGGTTCATCAACTAGAGCTGCAATCAAGTTTGGACAAACTATAACACTGTGTGAAGGTAGTATATGAGGGGCTTTTTTAGTTTTCAGTGCCTTTCTTCATGCATTTTGGTTCTTCATATTTTGTTGGTTTCTTCATCTCTAGCAAATTATTAAAGACCTATCTTAAATCTGCAGGGAACTCCCAGTTTTCTTTTCTAGATAAGACCTAAAACTTCTGCATTATAAAAGCAGTATAGTTTTTTTTAGACAAACTTTGGAAACTACAAGAAAGTAAAAACAAAATTGTCATTATTATATGAAAAAAAAAAGCCCTAAATTTGTATTTTGGAATACTTTATATTAATTTTTATCCTGTTACAGTATTTTTACATATGAGTGTATTTTTATATCTTACTTTATTTTTTATATCTTATATTTCTTAAACTTAACTTTAAAATAAAGTTTAGAATTTCTATATTTTAGATGTTTTCATGAAAGATTATTCTTGATTCAGTGAATGACTATATTTTCAGTTCATTTAACAATTAATTCCATGTTATCCAAAGAGACATTCATTTTATGAGACCAGGAGAACTCGATGGTACCTGGCTACCACTGTCAACGACTCAGAGGGCGATCGGTGTAGGAGGTCCTGGATAGTGTGGGAGAACAATGTGGAACAAAACTCAAAATCATTTTTTAAAAAAAGACCAGGTTTGCTGGTCTGATAGAGCCTGGTAAGACTTCTGTGACTATGGCCCCTAGTTACCCTTCTGGTCTGGAATTGAACTCACTCCTGTGGCTTCCAGCCAAACTGTAGACAGGTATATGGGGTGAACATTTACATCAGGTAGATATACTCCTTGGAGCAACCAGTTGTGGGAGAACAGAGGGCAGTGTTTGCACAGGAAGATAGCTTGGGGAGACAGGAGAGTATGGGAGGGAAGGACACAGGGAGGAGGTAACTACAGGGAGGGGATGGGAAGAGAGCTGTTACATCGTGGGGAATTACAGTCAGTGTCATGAAACAAAATGTGTATCAGCTGCTGTATGGAAAATGAATTTGCTCTGTAAACTTTCACCCAAATTACGATAAAAATTAAAAAACGAAGAGAGACGTTCATGTTACATGTATTCTTTGGCATTTCTAAAAACCTTGTACTTTCTCATGTTGCCAGATGTTTAGTTTTTAATATCCTGTTCTTGGATACTATGTATGATTTAATATTAATGTAGGTTAAAATATTTGGGTTAATATCCATCATCAAACAGACATCTGCATTGATGTTTCTTTATGGAAACAAATGGTTTAGAAATTGTTTCCTTAATGAACTTTTCTCCCCAAGACTATGTTGGTAAAATATGGTACTTTAGTACCTTGTGAATACTCAGTATAGTGTTATTTTTCAAGATATTTACTAATCTCATACCTGTTTCTCCTTGACCATATTTTCTTTTATTTCATTAGTCATGTGTGTGTGCTGCCTCTATTTCAGTTGTTTGTTCTCTTCCTTGAGTGATCTAGTTGAAGAACAGTATCAGATTTGAAGTCTCATGGATTCTGTGAGCATGTTGTTGTTGTTGTTATGTGCCGTCGAGTCAAAGCCGACTCATAGCGACCCCTTCTTGGGTTTCCGAGGCAGTATCACTACGGAAGTAGGATTGCCCAACCTTCCTTCCGAGGAGTGGCTGGTGGGTTTGAACCGCCAGCTGTCTGGTTAGCAGGCAAGTGTCTTAGCTACTATGCTACCAGAGCTCCCTCTGTGAGCATAGTAAATATTAATTTAATAATGATGCTAGCTTAACTTATAAAAAGCTTTTAAGAATCATGGTAATTTGCCAACAGTATAATTTATATTATCAGGAGCCAGCATATACTCAGTGAAACAGTCTCTTCATGATGACATCTAACTTTTTATTTTTATCTCTCCTTCCGTTTCCAGGTTGCCATCACGAAAGCCAAAGTGGATTTCTCCAGTGTAGTGTGCCTGCCCCCTTCCGTCATTGCTGTGAATGGGCTGGACGGAGGAGGGGCTGGCGAAAATGATGATGAACCAGTGCTGGTGTCCCTGTCCCCGGCACCCAGCCCCCAGAGCGAAGCTGTTGCCAATGAGCTCCAGGAGCTCTCCCTGCAGCCGGAGCTGACCCTGGGCCTTCACCCTGGCAGGAATCCCAATCTGCCTCCACTCAGTGAGCGGAAGAATGGTGAGTGGATGTGGAATTATTGCACTGCCTGATTTGAACCAGGGTCTTTGTGTTTATAATATACTAAACTCTCACTTTATTTCATGATCTTGTAATAGTCGTAAGTTTAACATTTCCTGTGTGGATTCTTAGAACTGCTTTCTAATTTGTGTTCCTACTACTATGTTTTTCCCACTCCGCCCCTTCCATAAATTCATTAATTAACCAGATGTTTATTAAGCATCAGTATAGGCAGCCCCTGGGTTACGAACATTTGACATAAGGACAACTCCTATTTGCCCTTTAATGTTACGTAAATTTGTCCTCACTTTGAGAAGATTGAACCAACCCCAGTTATTGTTGTTAGGCGCCATCTAGTCTGCTCCGAGTCATAGTGACCCTGTATACAACAGAGCAGAGCGCTGCCTGGTCCTGCGCCATCTTCACAGTCCTTGCTGTGTTTGAGCCCGCCCACCATTGCAGCCATTGTGTCAGTCTATCTTGTTGAGAGTCTTTGTTTTTCGCAGACCTAGGGAATGGTCTCTTCTGACAACATGACCAAAGTAGGTGAGATGAAATCTGGCCATTCTTACTTCTACGGAGAATTCTAGCTGTACCTCGTCCAGGACAGATTTGTTTATTCTCCTGGCAGTCCATGGTATTTTCAGTACTCTTTGCCAACATCAGGATTCAAAGGCATCAAACTCTCTTTGGTCTTTTTTATTCATTGTCTAGCTTTCATGTGCATATGTGGCGATTGAAAATACTATGACTTTGAGTTTGATGCACCTTAGTCTTCAAAGTGACTTCTTTGCACCTTAACACTTTAAAGGGTCTTTTGCAGCAGATTTGCCCAGTGCAATATGACATCTGATTTTTTTTTCACTGCTGGCATCCATGGGTGTTGATTGTGGATCCAAGTAAAGTGAAATGCGTGACTACTTCAGTCTTTTCTCTATTTATCATGATTTACTTATTAGTTTAGTGGTTTCCTTTATGTTGAGGTAGAATCCATACTGAAGACTGTAGTGTTTCATCTGTATCAGTAAGTGCTTCAAATTACCTTCACTTACGCAGGCAAGGTTGTGTCATCTGCATATCGAATATTGTTAATGATTCTTCCTCTAATTCTGATGGTTCATTCTTCTTTATATAGTCCAGCTTCTCAGTTTATTTGCTCAGCATACAGATAGAATAAGTAAGGTGGAAGACTACAACCCTGACACATATCCTTTCTGATTTTAAACCATCCAGTATCCCCTTAGGAGCTCTGGTAGCATAGTGCCTAAGGCACTTGACTGCTAACCAGAAGGCTGGCGGTTCAAACCCACCAGCCACTCCTCGGAAAGAAGGTTGGGCAATCCTACTTCCATAGTGGTACTGCCTCGGAAACCCAAGGAGGGGTCGCTATGGGTCGGGGCCGACTCGACGGCAAACAACAACAACAAGTATCCCCTTGCTCTGTTTGAATGACTGCCTCTTGATCTATGTACAGATTCCTCACAGGTTCCTCATGAGCACAGTGAGGTGTTCTTTGCAGTGTTACCCATAATTAGTTATGATGCACACAGTTGAATACCTTTGCATAGTCAATAAAACACAGGTAAACATCTTTCTGGTTTTCTCTGCTTTTAGCCAAGATCCATCTGGCATCAGCAGTGATATCCCTTATTCTGCGTCCTCTTCTACACTTCTTGGAAATGAGAATGGCCACGCTTTGTCTTACCTAATTTGGTCATACTCTAAGAAGGGACCATTCCCTGAAGAAGGATATCATGGTTGGTAAAGTGGAGGGTTAACGAAAAAGGGGAAGGCCCTCAACAAGATGGATTGACACGGTGGCTACAGTGATGGGTTCAGATATAGCAAGGATTGTGGGGCTGGCACAGGACCGGGCAGTGTTTCATTCTGAAGTGCATAGGGTTGCTGTGAGTTGGAGATGACTTGACAGCACCTAACAGCAACATCCTCTTCTGAATCCAGCTTGAATTTCTGGAAGTTCCCTGTCAGTATACTGCTACAACCATTTTTGAATTATCTTTAGCAAAATTTTATTTGCGTGTGGTATTAATGGTATGGTTCGATAACTTCCACATTGTGTTGCATCACCTTTCTTTGGAATGGGTACAAATGTGCATCTCTTCCAGCTACTTGGCGAGGTAGCTATCTTCATATTTCTTGGAATAAATGAGTGAGTGCCTCCAGCACCATATCTCCTTGTTTGAAACGTCTCGGTGGGTAGTATGTCAATTCTGGGACCCTTGTTTTTAGTCAGTTCCTTCAGTGTAGCTTGGACTTCTTCTTTTGGTACCATTGTTCTTGATTGTATGCATCCTCCTGAAATGGTTGACTGTTCACCAGCTTTTTTTGGTACAGTGACTGTGTATTCCTTCCAGCTTCTTTTAATATTTCCTGCATCATTCAATATTTGGCCAGTGAAATCCTTCAATATTGCAACTCAAGGCTTGAATCTTTTCTCCAGTTCTTTCAGTTTGAGAAGTGCTAAGCATGTTCTTCCCTTTTGTTTTTCTAATTCCAAGTCTTTGCATATTTCATTATAATATTTTACTTTGTTTTCTCGAGACTCCCTTTGAAATCTTTTGTTCAGCCCTTTTATTTCATCATTTCTTCCATACTATTTAGCTACCCTCCATTCAAGAGGAAGTTTCAGAGTTTCTTCTGACATCCATTTTGGTTTTTTCTTCCTTTCTTGTCTTTTTAGTGACCTTTGCTTTCTTCATGTATGTTCTTGATGGCTACTCTGGTCTTTGGTCATTGGTGTTCATTACATCCAGTCTGTTCAGATGGCCTCTAAATCCAAGTGGGATTTAATCGAGGCCATATTTTGGCCAAGCTTCCGGACTGCAATAGACTGGGAAGAAGAATGGGGCTTTCTCCTTATGAAAAAATTGGCACGGAAAACCTTATGAATAGCAGTGAAAGACTGTTCTGATACATTACTGGAAGACTTTATGAACCAGCCCCTACTCCCAACAAATTATTCATCATAATCACCTTCATTTGCACACATGCAGATTTTAAGTCATGGAAAGGCTCTGTGGTAGTTAAGTTTGTGTGTCAATTTGTCTGGGCCTGGTTGAGTGGCTGGACAGCTGGCTGTAGTATTTCCCATGATGAGACTGGTAATCAGCTCCATGGTGGGATTTACCGCAAGCAGCTGAGTAGGTGCCTTCGGGATGTGGTGTGCTTTCTGTATATAAGAAGAAGCCTTGAGGATAGTCTCTAGTTTATGGTGCACTTGAACTCTGCATGTAGCTGTGTCATTGTTCAACAGCCTGCCATGCTCTGCCGACCTTGGGACTTTCAGAGGACTTGAATGAATGGCCTGCCATGTGGTTTGGTAACATCGGGACTGTGCCTGTTTACTTGTCAACCTTGGGTTTGTCAGCCTCAGCAGCTGTCTGAGTGAAGAAAAGCCTATAGCTTCAGTGGGCTGGGAGCAGGAGGCAGAGCTAAGGCCAAGGTTGAGGGGCTTTCACCCAGGTCCTAGAGCCTGGCACTTTGGACTCGGACATAAAGCTTCCAGACTGTAGGAGAATAAACTCCTGTTTGTTCAAACCATCCCATTTGTGGTATATTCCTGTCAGAGTGGCACTAGGTAACCAGAACAGGCTCCAAGCCTTTTCTTGTACTCAAGTAAAGCTAAATATGAACCATATGTTCCTGTTCCAACTTAGCTACAAATTCCACTTGAAGGCCCTCTTAGGAGAGGATGTTGTTCATAACGTGGGGACAGCCTATATATTAAAAACTGCTAAGATAAAGGATTAAATGGTAAATAAGTTTCCCCCATTAGGAAATTTACCTTATCCTGTGGCTTATATAGAGCGCTGTGAAGAGTAATCTTTAGAACTCCCTAACTTTTTCGGTGACTGCCCTGTGGAATAAAAACAAAAATAAAACCTTTGGGTTGGTGGTTGATTCTCATATTTACATCTGTTAGTTTTATTTCTCCAATTGATATTTAATGTCTTTCCACAGTTTTATAATTTTCTACATAAAGATCATGCAAATATCTTTTTCCTGAGTATCATGTATTTTTATATAGACATTATAAGTGTATATTTTTATAAAATGTTTTTGGATAGTTTGATACTGGGGTGTAGAAATGCAAAACGTTTTACAAACCTCTGTGTTTTTTTTACAGCGTTGCCCTTTACTTGGGATACCTTTCCTCTCCTCTGCTCTTAGTCATCCTTGTGTGTTCTGTTCAGGTATCATCCCCTTTGACAAGCCTTTCCCAGTTCAGACTCAATGTGAGATATCTCTCTTTTGGTTTTTCTGGTTGCTCTTTGTTACCCTGTATTATAACTGCAGTTCTTTACTCAGCAACATGAGTGAGCCTTTGAAAACTGAAATCAGACAGTGTTGTCCTCCTGTCAGACCATCATTTTCTTCCCATGACACTTAGGATGAAATCATAGTGCTTAGGATACAGCCCCTGGTCTCCTCTCTGCCCTTATTTCCTACTACTCTCCCCTAGCTCATTCTGCTCTTCTCCAGCCATGCTGACATTCTTGCTATTTATCAAGCCCACCAGGTATGCTGTTGTCAAAGGACCTGGTACTTTCATTGGTACCTGGTATTTCATTGATACCTGGTATTTCATTGATACCTGGTACCTTCATTGAGGTATAGCCATTTCCTCCAGGGGACTTCCCTGCCATTCTCATCTAAAATAGCACCTCCTGTTACTCTCTATCCCCCTAAGCTGCTTTATTTTTCTTCAGAGCACTTCTGAGTATTTATTATCTCTTTTTCCCTCTTTGGTAGTATATTTCAC